AAACATTGTAAAAAATTACATTATATATCATTAACATAATTGCAGTTATAATTTTGAATAAAATTAAAATCTAATCTGATTCTACTAAGATAAATAAATAGAGGACCTTTCAAGTTATCTCAATTAGCCAATTAAAAATATTACACATTTGTAATAAAATTAATGAAAACCAAAATCATTATATAATTTTTAAATAATTTGACGAAGTTTTCCCTCAAAATTGTATTCCCCCCCTATGCACAAAATATAAAAATACAATCAATCAAAATATCAATGTTTAACCAACACAATCATAATTGTCAAACAAATTACTTAATATTGATTAGAGACTTAATATAACTATCAATATTATATTATAAGTACTTCAATTTTCCAAAAATCATTATATATCAATAAAAAATTCGCCAGAGATTCCCCTAAAAATTATATTTTCCCCCTATGCATAAACTATAAAAATACAATCAATCAAAAATCAATGTTTAACCAACACAATCATAATTGTCAAACAAATTACTTAATCTTGATTAGAGATGTAATCTAACTATCAATACTATATTATAAGTACTTCAATTTTCCAAAAATCATTATATATCAACAAAAAATTCGCCAGAGATTCCCCTAAAAATTATATTTTCCCCCTATGCATAAAATATAAAAATACAATCAATCAAAAATCAATGTTTAACCAACACAATCATAATTGTCAAACAAATTACTTAATCTTGATTAGAGATGTAATCTAACTATCAATACTATATTATAAGTACTTCAATTTTCCAAAAAGCAATATATATCAATAAAAAATTCACCAGAGATTCCCCTAAATATTATATTTTCCCCTATGCATAAAATATAAAAATACAATCAAGCATAAAATATAAAAATACAATCAATCAAAAATCAATGTTTAACCAACACAATCATAATTGTCAAACAAATTACTTAATCTTGATTAGAGACTTAATCTAACTATCAATACTATATTATAAGTACTTCAAATATAACTTAAATCGATTTCTCTTAAGAAATAATAATAATTAGAAAGAATACTTACAGTATACTGCTGAGCTTGCTCATCAATATACGTTGGCATTTTATCCTTTTCCTTGGGATGGTGCATTTTTTTGGCACGGATCACATCAACAAATGATGGATCCCTATGCTCTGGATCTTTTTCCTTCTGCAATATCACATATTTAATTATTGTGTTAATTCACACAAATATGATAATTAACTACAAAATGATTATAATCATTTATGAGATGAAATCTAAAATTTAGAAGTAAACTTTTTACCAATTTTCTGACAAAATCATCGTCATCCATCGATCCACCTATGTGCGTTATCCTGGGGCCTTTGGCTCGATTTAGCTTCGCTTGCTCTCTCCGCGCATTGAATTGAGGGTCCTCCGTCCATTTGTATTTTAACTTCTCCCAAATCTCATCAGACATGTAGGTTTTCTTTTTAGTAAAATTATTTTTTTTACATGAAGTTTGGATATCAGTCATCATCCGATTATATCTTTTTTCACAAACTTTTAGAAATGCAGTATGCATAGCATCCTCATGAGCAGGCTCCCACTGATATCTATTCTGAAAAACAAAATTATTGGTATCATATATTACTATATTAATTGACTCACAAAAAAAAATGCACATATATAAATAAAAACAAATTAAAAATTATTCAATATAACTACAAACACGAAAATCTTGCCAATATACGTCTTTGTGCTCACGCGATATTGAGCCCCAACCTGTATATGCATCTCGCATATTGGACTTAAGAATGATTGAAATCTCCCTTCGAACTTGTTTAGGTAATTTTTTCCCATTCCAGTTTCCTATGCTCAGCTTTTGGGATGGATCCTCTGGCATTTTTTGCAATTTAGCAATACCTCGCCCCTTTTTCGGGTGAGGAGGCGAGGGTGCACTTGAATCAGTGTCACTGCTATTATCACGTGTCTCCATCGGGCTCTCTTGGACAATAGTACTAGAAGATCCAGTTGCTTGAGATTGATTTTTTCTGGTAGGCTTTTGGGTGGCAACGTTAACAGATTTGTCACCCTTACATGATCCAGGTAAGCAATTCACTGCAAAAAAAAAGAAAAAAGAAATAATACTACATTAGTATATGAATGAAAAAAAAATTATTAGATTTAAATTTTAAACAAAAATAAATCAAACATGAAATTTAGTTAGCAATATCTAAACAAATTATTAATCACCAAATTAATTAACAATTAAATTTATCAACAATACATATCACCAATTGTATTATACAATACCACACACATGCATTACTCTATAATTAAAAAGCATCTATGTGTTACTAATTAATTAATCACTACTATCACTCTCAGAAATGTATTCAATATTATCTTCCTCAGATGTAGAATAATTTTCAAATTCTTCCTCCTCATACTCATCCTCAAATTCTCTGTCATCATTCACATCCTCAAATTCAACATTAATGGCATATATAGTCCCATTAGTATGTTGAATAGGTTCATAGAATATCAAATCGGTTTTAGTTGGTTGGGGAGGTAGAGGGTCATCATCTTGAAAAATGGGTTCTTGCTCATCGTGTTGGTCTTCTTGCTCATCTGGCATCTCAATAATACTTTTTGCTCTGCATTTCAATGCAGCAAGCCATCCCTTCCTATTAGAATTATGTGATGGATATGGAGTGTAATACACATGTTTTGCTTGACTGGCCAAGATAAAAGGCTCATAAGTCCTCAGTTTTCTATTTGGATTAATATCAATAAGACGATGTTTTCTGTCAACCACAATTCCTCGTGCAAGAGGAATTTCATACCAATCGCATTTAAATAGAACAACCGTCTGTCGATGTGTAGAGCCAACATATTGAAGCTCAATCACTTCTTGCAATAACCCATAAAAATCCAAATCTGATTCTGTTCCTGTGGTTCCTGTGATACACACACCACTATTCATAGTTCTCTTATTTCTTTCGTATGAGGTCGTGTGAAATCGAAAACCATTTACCCAAAAGCCTTTATAGCATGAAACCATCTAAGATGGCCCATGAGCCAAACAAATCAAATGCTCATCAATGCCCTCAAGCTCATCATGTAAAACCTATACCAAACAAAAGTCTTAATTGGTTATAAGTATATAATAAAAAATTAATTATAATTAAAATAATAAAATAAATTAAACTTACTGATTTTTGAAACCATGAGACAAGACAATTGGAACGTTTCAATTGTATTTGTTGAGGA